AATTTAAGGAGAAATCCTCTTATGATCCAAGTTCTTCTGAAGAAAGTGACTTAAGGTTTTAGTATCCAGAGAGTAGAGCTCAGTCTAAAGAAGGAGGGGTGAGCTACATCCTTTATGGAGGTTTATTGATCTATTTATAAGATATTTGTAATGATAGACCATTAGAAAAACAGATTGTTCCCAATGGGGAAGTCCCCTCCCTCTCCGAGTGCAGAGCACTTTTCTTCATAGCTCCAGGAGAGCGAGCGTCGGAACATTCTGCTGAGGTACAGTCAACACACCAATACCGAGTCATGCAGAAACAGAAAATCTGAGCAAATCAATAAAAGTAACAAAGAAGATTGAATGAGCAAGAAAAAGCCTATTAAAAAGAAGCAAAAGACCACATGCCTTCTCTGATGAATTTTATCAAATATTTATAGAAGAATTTTTTACCAATTCTTCTTAAATTATTTCAAATAATTGATGAGGACAAAGTTCTTCCAAGTGCATTTTATGAAGCGAATATTATTTAGATACTAAACAAGAATCTAACCAGAAAAAAAAGTTACGAGCCAACATTTTTGATAAAGATAGGTGCAGGAATCACCAATAAAACACTGCCAACCCCAATCCAGTAGCACATTTAAAAGGTTATTCATGGTAATCACGTAGGATTCCCTTTAGTGATAAAAGGATGGTTCAGTATATTGGAAATAATAAATATGATATAACACGTCAACAGGATGGACAAAAATATATTTTTTCAGTAGACACAGGAAAAGCTCAAGATAAAACTCAACATTTTTTCATGACAAAAACAGAACAAGATAGATATAGAAAGACTATCACTTAGCAATATAAAGGGCTGTAGTTTTATAGTTAAGGCATATTAAATAAGGAAAGCATGAAACCTTTCTTTCCAAGATCTAGAACCGTACAAGTGTACTGGATGTTTTGTGTGTCAACTTGACCCAAGCAAATGTCATCTGGGAAGAGGGAACCTTAAATGGAAAAAAAAAATGCCTCTATCAGATTGCCCGTTGTCAAGTCTGTGGGAGCATTTTCTTGATTGATGATTGATCTGGGACACCCAGCCCACTGTGGGAGGTGCTACCCATGGACAGGTGATCCTGGGTTCTTCAAAAATGCTGAACAAGCAAGGAAGAACAAGGAAGTAAGCAATATTCCCCCATAGCCTCTGCTTCAGTTCCTGCATCCTGGTTCCTGTCTTGGCTTATCTCAGTGTGGGCTTTAAGCTGGATATGATAGAAACCCTTTGCTCCCCAAGTTGCTTTAGGTCATGGTGTTTATCACTGGGAAAGTAAAGTCAAATTGTCACTGTTTGTACACGACCTGATCTTATATGTAGAAAACCCAAGATATCACTGGAAATGATTAAAAACACTAAATAAATTTAGCAGTGTTTCAGGACACAAAGCTTTCATACAAAAGTCAGCATCATTTCTATAAACCAGTAGCAGATAATCTGACAAGAGAGTTATTCAATATATAATAGCTGTAAAAGATTATGTATAATGCATTTAAACAGAATGGTAAAAGTTCGTCATGAGAAGACTACTGTAATAAAGGAATTGAAGAAGACACACCTACGCACAAGCAGATGGTAGTCTGCGTTTTTGTGTCATAAGAATAAATACTGGGAAAACATTTATACTCCCCAGAATAATCAAAACTGCAGGCTACTGGCACAAAAATAGATGTGAAGACCAATGAAACAGGATGGAGATCCTAGATGTGAACTCAGTCATGCATGGCCAACTGAGATTTTGCAAAGGTGCTAAGATCAGGCATTGGGAAAGGACAGTGTCCTCAACAAACAGTGCTGGAGAAAGACCTGTGTTTTTACCCATATTGAAAAATCAGTTTAAGAAGGCTAAATGTTTTGTGCTGATTAACTATAAAACAATTAGACACAAAAGAGATCATGTTTCAAGATATTAGAACAGGAAGGATTTACTTAAATAAGGCCCCAAAAGCACAGGTATCAACCAGGACTAGACACATGGGATTCCATATAAATAGAAAGCTGCTGCACAACAGGCATCCGAATGGAGAAACTACCTACAAAAGGGAAGAAAGTGTTACATACATTCTCTCTCAGAGCTAATGTACAGTGCTTGAGGAAAAGCAAAACCATCAATGGCCAAAACAACCCCAAATCACGTTAAGACGGTTGATAGGTATCAATAGATATCTCTCGAGAGACGATATACAAACACTTAACATGTTCATGAAAAAAACTGGACTGCTTTGCATCCTGTAGAATTTATTCATCGCAGCCAAGACAGAGGATCTACGGGACACGGTACCCATTTTAATCGACGACAACAACTCTTCTAGGACCTCAAAAGTAAAGATCATCCACAATTTAACAAGGTTTCTATGATAAATTCTGACATTAGAACTGATCCCTTGAAAACCAAAAAATACTGTTTGTCTTAATAGAATAAAAAATTGGGATGGATTACTGGTCAACTGTGGCTTAGCAATTACTATTGTTTAGTCAATGGATACCTCACGGTACCTTTCACAAGGCTGGGCAGTTTAATAATGGTGGCCAGTGTGATTGCCTACTAAACTATAGGAAAACAAATGGGAAAATATCACACCACAGGCAGCATTAATTCATCCAGCAAGCAAAAACAAGAAAATGGAGCTCAGGTCTAGACTTCTCCTGTGCTACTCAATCAAGGCAAATTATTTTTTGTCTTCTGCCTAGGAAGTCCCACCGGGCATGAAATATTGATTTAGGTGTTTGCAGGCCGTGAATGGCTGAGTTACTCTTCTTAACATATGATGAATTGCTTCTCCGTGTTGTGATGAGGCTGAAAAGCAAATTAAACATGATTATTTAATAAACATGAAATATAAACACTAAGCCCTATTCCCAGTTACTAGTGCGGGGTCATGAGAGTTCACTGGAGGGTGTGTGAGCATTGCTCACGTCAGAGCCTAGCTACAGGCTTCTATTATCTACCTCAGCCATGAACTTTGCTGCATTCTGTGAGACCTGATTCTAGTGTTCCCATGAGTGGACCAAGGGGGTGAGGAGCCTGTGTGTTCTACATGGCTGAACTGGGGATTCTCAAAGTCAGGAAGTTTGAGGCTCTGGCTGCCAGAGAAGAACTTACAGTAGGCTGCAAAGAAGAGGAGCAAACACTAGACCTAGTCTGAGGAAGAGGAGTTCGGTGACATGCTAAAAGAAAGGCAAGCACAAAAGATACAGCATGCGTTGGCTTCCTCAGCTGGGAATCCTGGCTTGGTACCTTTCTACACACGCGCATCACCCTCAGTGCTAAAGTGAGGCTCTCTCTCTTCAACTGCACATGCGCGCCACCCTCAGTGCTAAATTGAGGATCTCTCTTCAACGACTGGTGTTCATATTTGCTTGATTCTACTATTTCTTATGGATACACAGAATAATGCCTGCAAGTCCACTTCACTGTGAACAGAGATAATATCAACATTATAGTTAATATTTGGAGCTAGTCCCCGACGATATTCGTTGTGATCCCAACTCCAGCCTTGACTCAGTGGGGTGCTTGATGGAGCTTTTCTTTGGTTTTGTGACAAAAAAGGCCTCTGTCTTTGGTTTACTTAAATTTAAGTGTGGGGATTTGCAACCAAACTAGACTGTCTACTGTGCATTGCTTCTCAAGTAGACTCACTTAACATGACCCTCTTTGTGGTCATTGACCTTTTATATCAGGTGCTTACATGGAACACAACCAAGCTATATTAAATGTATAAATGAACTTAAACTGATGAGAACTCCCAAATCCACTAATTTAAGACTCTCTTCATCCCAAACATCACAAGCAATTCAAGTTCAGTTTAAGTTGACATTCCAGCAACTCTGGGAAAAAATGGTGGATGCTGTGGGGATCTTGTTGGGGGCACTGAGTCGAGGAGACACTAGAGATTTAGTGAGGAGGACCTGTGTTCTTTACAGCGTAGCAACACCATGGCCTGCTCAGTCTCCCATTGTCAATCTCCAGTGCCATAGACTCTGGAGGGAAAAAGCTCCACCACAGAGCCACACCCAGGAATCCAAGCACCCTTCTTTCTGTAAAGGTGGGGGAAAACATTTACCTTCCAGCTCCAGCGAGCTGTTTATGAGAGAATTGAGGATACAAACATTACTTGTTGATCAGGCACTTTTTCCTGTGCCTTGTGCTCAAGTGTTCAAGGAAACGTACCAGAGAAATCGTGAGTCAAGGTGTTACTTCTTTTCCCAGCCAAATGCACCACGGGAGTCACCCCTCCACACTTTTACACGTTATCATATTTGGACTTTGGGTGTGATCCTTGGTGTAACACTGGGCATCTGCACAGTGTTTCTTTCAGTTCAGCTGTCTTGGGGCTCCCGAGTGTAGCTTCAAAGCTCTGTCCTCAGGCGGTCCCCATCCCTCTATACCTAAAGGCTACTCCTTGGGTATTTTAGAAGGCGTGGCAAGAAACACCTGCTCTGGAACTTCCTTTGATTCTCGCTCCAACTCTCATTTTAAGGGAGTTGCTCTGCCATTTCCTATCTATTCCAAGTGTGCATTATGAGATCCAGTTTCAATTCCCCGGTGGTAGCTCTCAGATCCCGTTACAATCCTCAGAGCTCCATGTATGTGTGTGTGAGGGAGGTAGAGAACCAAGTGCTGGCACTAGGCTCCTCAAGGTTCAGTTACCCCGGGCTGAGTCCCTAGCTCTGTGCCACGCAGCGGAGCGCTCTATGGCCCGGCAGCGCCGCGGCCCCTTTAAGAGCCGGGCCCAGGCTGGCCCGCGGGCCGCGGGAGCCCAGAGCGCCGCGCGCGTCGGAGGAGTTGGGAGCCGGCGCAAAAGTTTCCTCCCAACTCCGGCCCCGCGCGCCGCCGCCGCCGCCCACTCCAGCCCGGGGCCTGGGGCCGGCCCTGCCACGGTCGCCAGGGCCACCGCCAGAGGCAGGGCCCGGCGGGCCGCGCCCGCAGTTTCACTTTGGCGCGTGGAACCTCCGCCTCCGCCTGCGCCCGGCCGACCCGCCGCGTCCCCGTGTCCGCTTCCCGCCCTGGGTGTCCCGCGGGGCTGCAGGGGTGCAGCGGCGATCCCCGGCCGCGGAGCCACGCGCGGGACCACGGCGTGTCCGCCCCACGTCCCCCGACCGAGGGGCTGCGCCCGGGGGTCAGACACCTGTTCGGCCCGGCCCCGCGCGGGAACCGGGGCAGGATGAAAGTGACAGTGTGCTTCGGCAGGACCGGCATCGTGGTGCCCTGCAAGGACGGCCAGCTGCGCGTCCGCGAGCTCACCCAGCAGGCGCTGCAGCGCTACCTGAAGACCCGGGACCAGGTGAGGGGCGCTGCCGGGGCGGGGAAGCAGCGCGGCCGCGGCGGGGCTCAGCAAGTGCCCTAGGCCACGCACCTGCCCGGCGCCCTGGACCAAGTGGCGCTCTTTATGGGACTCAGATGACCCCCGTGGCGGGTGAGCGCTGCCTGCGGCCACAACTTTTGCAGGCTGCTAATGTAAGGGACCCGGGTAGCCCTGCCTTGTCACTCAGAGCCCTGGGAGGAATGGAGACTCCCCCCCCCCCCCGCCCACCCCCATTGGAGGGGTCCCTACACCTCGGGCATCTGAGGCCTACTTCCAAGTCCACGCACCGGGGCTGCTCTCTAAGACAACCCCAGGTGTGTGAGTAGCAGGACTCTGGCACTTACTTACTAGAACACTGTGATATAACCTGCACTGCTCACCTGAAGTGTGGTTTCTGACCCACTTAGTCCCTCCCCAATGAGGCACCTTGGAGTTAGAGAGCTGATTGGCTCAAGAAAACCTCCAAAGTTAGAGCTATTGATGTTTTTGGAATTCTCAGGCTGGTGGGAGGTCTGCCAGTGACCTGGGCAGGAGCTCAGGTGGGATGCTACTTGCTTATACCAGCTAGTGTACTGGGGTCTCTGCTGGATGCCACACTTTCTATGAGCTGGACACTTTGCCGGGCCTAGTTTACTACCAAATGAGAAGGATGACCCACAGTTCTGCTGCTCAAGTTAGGATCTAGTGAAAGTCAAGAGCTCACATACAAAGGGGCAAGATTCCATCTCTTGTCAGGTGTCTGCCTGACATATGGGGCTTCACTGTGTCCTTCTATGGAACCTTTAAAGGAATGATCCGAAAAGCCTTTAAGTTTTTCTCTTTCCTTTCTTTTCCTTTCCTTTTTCCTTTCCTTTCCTCTTTCCTTTCCTTTCCTTCATTCCCTTCGTCCCTCTGTCCCTCCTTCCTTCCTTCTTCCTTCCTCAGTCTTGTATAGCACTGTTGCAGTCTTGGCTGTCCTGGAACTCGTTTTGTAGACCAGGCTGGCCTCCAACTCATAGAGATTCACCTGCTTCTGCCTCTTGAGTGCTGGGATTAAAGACATGTGGCACTACCAGCAGGCTTATTTTTTTTTCAATTCTTACATTTCCTGTTTTGTATATCTCAACAACGTCTCAAACAGATAAGCCACAAACGCTTGTTTTAGGAGACAATAGTTCTGTTAGTATTTGTTCACATAATATTGTAAACTGTAGTCAACAAGTTGGTCCAATCTTAAGATGAAAAAATATAATTTTAATTGATTTTAAAATCATATGTCATACAAAGTATAGAAATCACATTTTCAAGCACATAGAATAAAATTTTAAATTGCATATCTTTGTTTAATGTTTATGGAGGGCTCACGTACACTGCTATGCATATGTGGAGGTCAGAGAATGACTTGCCTACCTACTGTGTGGATGAGGATCAACATAGACCTTCAGGCTTGGTGGCAAGGGCCATCTTGACTCTCCATCTTGCCTTAAATCTCTAGATGCTTCTCCTAAGAATTAGTGTCCAGAAGACAAACTTTTGATAGATACATGTATATATTATTCTGAGCAGTCAAGAATGGGAGGCCAGAGGCTAGAGAGACGACTCAGCAATTGGGAGTAGCTACTGTTCATCTAGAGGACCACAGAACATTTCCCACCACCAATATCTGAAGGCTCACAACAACCTGCACATCAACTCTAAAATGAGCCAATCCCAAAGCATCTGCACGCATATGTGTGCTTGCATATGTATACGTTCCCCAACCCGTACACACTTAAAGGAATTGGAAGAGAATAGAGTGAAAAGCCTTAAAGAATTACATAGTTCTTAGCCAGGTTGTGGTGGCTCACGCCTTTATTCCCAGAACTTGGGAGGCAGAGGCAGGGGAATCTCTGAGTTTGAGGCCAACCTGATCTGCAAGAGCTAGTTCCAGGACATGCTCCAAAGCACAGAGAATCCCTGTCCCCCCAAAACAAAACAAAACTAACAAGCAAACTACAGATAGTTCCTAAACCGTACTTGTTACAATAGAATTGAAGCAGCGGAAAGATGTGATGTGCATCTAATGCAATGTATGACTCTAGCCCATTGAGGTTTCATTTTTGTGTTATTGCTGCATTGGTGTACTGTTTATATCTTGTAATTCAGTTAAGAATTGAGATTTGACCAAGTAAACGATTATCTTTGAAATCATATTTTACTGGCTTTTGAAAATTGGATAAGGTTAGCCGCAACACTTTTGTAATCTACACAAATTATTAAAGTTGAATTCATGGAAGAATTGCTTATTGAGGTGAAAAATTTACCTTTTTAACTCATTAGCAATAATGTACATCCTCAAATATTGTACATCTTGAAGTTTACTATAAATGAAGACACTATTACACAGAGGTAAGCTACAAGCACATAAATAATCATTGAAAGTAACCACTGGTCTTCCTTGGATTGTACTTAGATCTTAACAGGGTTAAAAAGCTATTGCTACTCAGGTTACCATTATTGCCAGACATTACGTTTTCCTGTGTTTACATTTATATATTAGTGAGTGTGGCATTTAAAGGTCAACCAAAGCTTATGAAATTTCTCTCTCACTTTTAAAATTTCAATTTATGTGAAGAATATTTTCTCTTCCCCAAATATTCTCCTCTACTTTCATCTTAAGGGTTATTATAAGCAGGAGATTTTTGGTTATTTTTAGGTTATTATAAGTATGAGATTAATTAATGTTTCTAATGTAACTTGAAATGTCATGCAATACTCTGAAAAAATCCTATGCTTTTTATCCATTGAATTTTTAAAATAAGTAATAGAGGAAGACCCAAAATGTCAAAATCCAATTTGTACAAGTTTGTTATTTTATTGTTTTTTATTGACCTATATATTTTTCCTACCTCCTGCCTCTCCTTCTACCCTCTCCCATGAGCCCATGCTCCCAATTACTCAGGAGATGCTGTCTTGTTCACCTTCCTATGTAGATCCATGTATGTCTCTCTTAGGGTCCTCTTTGTTGTCTGGGTTATCTGGGATCTGTAAGATGTTTTTTTTTTGTTTGTTTGTTTTATGTCTAAAAGCCACCTATAAGTGAGTACATATTATATTTGTCTTTCTGAGTCTGGATTACCTCATTCAATATGTTTTTTCTAGATCCTGCACATTTCAAGATGTCATATTTTTTACCGCTGAGTAGTGCTCCATTGTGTATATGTGCTACATTTTCTTTATCCATTGTTTGGTTGAGGGGCATCTAGGTTGTTTCCATGTTTTGGCTATTACAAATAATGCTGCTATGAACATAGTTGAGCACATGTCCTTGAGGTATGATTGAATGTCCTTTGTGTATATACCCCAAAGTGGCATTGCTGAGTCTTGAGGTAGGTTGTTTCCTAATTTTCTGAGAAATTCGCCATACTGATATCCAAAGGGGCTGTACCAGCTTGCACTCCCGCCAGCAATGCAGGAGTATTCCCTTTACCCCACATCCTTTCCAGTGTAAGCTGTCATCAATGTTTTTGATCTTGGCCATTCTGACAGGTGTAAGATAGAATCTCAGAGTTGTTTTGATTTGCATTTCTCTGATGGCTAAGGATCTTGAGCATTTCCTTAAGCTCCTTCAGCCGTTTGAGATTCATCTGTTGAGAGTTTTCTTAAACAGTCTGGACCCTAAATTTCTTATTGGATTATTTGTTCTTTTGATGTCAAGTTTCTTTACTTCTTTGTATATTTTGGAGCTCAGCCCTTTGCCCCATGTGGGGTTGGTGAAGATCTTTTCCCATTCTGTAGGCTGCCGTTTTGTCTTGTTGACCATGTCCTTTGCTTTATAGAAGCTTCTACACTTTCAGGATGTCCCATGTATTAATTGGTGCTCTTAGTGTCTGTGCTACTGGCATCCTTCACAATAGCCACAAATAACTTGGGGGTAACTTTAACCAAACAAGTGAAAGACCTTATGACAAAACTTTAAATCTTTGAAAAAAGAAATTGAAGAAGACACTAGAAAATAGAAAGCTCTCCCATGGCCTTGGTAGGTAAAATTAACATAGTAAAAATGGCAGTCTTACCAAAAGCAATCCAATGCCCATTGCGTTCATGAAAATCCCAGCAAAATTCTTCACAGACCTCAAAAGAACAATACTAAACTTCATATAGAAAAACAAAATACCCAGGATATGCAAAACAATCCTGTACAATAAAGGACCTTCTGAATGTATCACAATCCCTGACTTCAAACTCTGCTATAGAGCTACAGTACTGAAAACAGCCTAGTATTGACATAAAAACAGACAGGAAGACCAATGGAACCAAATAGAAGACCTGAATATCAATCCATACACCTATGAACACCTGATGTTTGACAAAGAAGCTAAAAATATAAAATAGAAAAAATCGTATTCAATAAATGGTTCTGGCATAACTGGATATCAATATGTAGAAGAATGAAAATAGATCCATATCTATTTCCATGCACAAATCTCAAGTCCATATGGATCAAAGACCTCAACATAAAGCCAACCACACTGAGCCTCATAGAAGAGAAAGTGGGAAGTACACTTGAACGCATTGGCACAGGAGACCACTTCCCCAGTTGTACAACAGTCTGTAAGCCAGGTAGAGAGATTCAAAAGGCTTGATATTCTGGATAGCAAAGCTTATTTCTGTGCCCAAGAAAAATGAGAGCTAGCATGTACTATGGTTACTCCATGCAGACACTATGCTAGGAGCTTATGTGACTTCTCTCTCACAGCATCAAGAGCTAGTTTTTCCTCTTTACCGATTGATATGCATGGTACCGAGATTAATTGTGAATTTTGGAATTGTGCTTGAATCCAAGGGCTGTGTTTTCCAGTGTTTACTCTCAGCTGTTAACCACATAGCCTCCTATGTTGCCTCTGTTAGCTGCTATAACAACAACACATCATTGTTTCCTTATGCAGCGAGGGTTTCGTACATGCTTCCCCACAGCCGCAGCAGAGTTGTCGCCTTCCTCTTCATTGCATTTGTTATGG